AATATACACATATGCATAGATATATAGACATATAGATATATAGATATATAAATATAGATATAGAAATAAATATAGATACAGATTGATACGTGCAAATGCTTGCAATTTCATACTACACTTGTATTTGATCGCGCCACATCGTCTGTACATGGCCACATACTCGGTCTCATTGCCTGATGTGTACTATATAAACGTTCTACATGCTCACATACTCGTTCTCATTGCCTTATTTGGGCTATATAATATTTTACATGCTCACATACTCGCTCTCATTGCTTTATGTGGGCTATATAAATTTTCTACATGCCCACATACTCGCTCTCATTGCCTTATGTGGGCTATATAAACATTCTACATGCTCACATACTAGTTCTCATTGCCTTATGTGTACTATATAAACGCTCTACATGCCCCCACATACTCGTTCTCATTGTCTTGTGTAGGCGATATGACGAGGAGTCGTCTGTGTCTGAGGGATCATTTGTGAACGACGCATCTGGCCCAAGCACGACACCGTCTACCGTCAAGCCCAGACAAAGGCACGGATACGACAGCCCAGACAAGGTGTCCAGGTGGGTGTTACGGGCGCAATAACTATAATATTTAAGACACCCTATCAGCCCCTCCTAGGACTAGGTTATGGACAGGCGACATCTAAACGTACCATACACGCACATATACGATAGCCCAGATAAGGTGTCCAGGTGGGTGTCACGGGTGCAATAACTATCATTTAGGACACTCCAACAGCCCGTCCTCGGACTAGGTTATGGACAGGCGACACCTGAACGTACTAAACACGCACATATACGATAGTCCAGATAAGGTGTCCAGGTGGGTGTCACGGGTGCAATAACTATAATTTAGGACACTCCAACAGCACGTGGTCGGACTAGGTTATGGACAGGCGACACCTGAACGTACTATACACGCACATATACGATAGCCCAGACAAGGTGTCCAGGTGGATGGTAGTGAGACCGAGTAAAAGCAGACAAACTGTTCCGGGGGGTGTCAGTCAGAGGAGAAGACACGTATGTACATCCACACAGGCACCGTAGGTCTCACGAGGCGTCTAGGGGTATGCATATAAATATATACAAGTACGTACACCGTAGATAAGCTGTCCACGGGGACATCAGAGTAGCGTGTAGAGTACATAGCATAAGTATAGATATGACAATAGATAAGTGTCCAGAGATATGCATATAAGTACGTATACCGTAGTCCAAACTTATTGTGCACATAAACATCGGGGTAGCGTGTAGAGTACATAGCATAAGTATAGATATGACAATAGATATAGTGCTCTGGTGGATGTCCGTCAGAGGAGAGAAGTATATATGTGTATCGTCTTATGTGTTTGCGATTCCATAGTCATCCTGCATTCCCATTCACATCCACATTCATATTCACATTCACACAAACCTCTGTGACCCGTCCCCGTAGTCCGCCTCATGGCTGTGTGAAGTCTCGGTACCTAGGCCTGCCAATCACCCCTATACCTACCTACTAACCTGTCTGTGCTTCTTATACTACGCAATAGTAGCGAACTAACACCTTGTCGCAACCCACTCTCACACTCTCTCTCTCACTCTCTCTCTGTATGTTTGTGTGTGTGTGTGTGTGTTCATTCCATGTGCTACAGAGTGTCTTCTCTGTTCAGCACGTGCTCTGCCATCTCAAAGCGAATCAACGACGAAGAGCGTGATTTCTGGGCCGTTGTAGTGCCGCGGTAAGTCAAACGCGCCGAATAACAGAACACCCACAGCATCTAAGCCCTTTATTTAATATACCGACGTGTCTAGGCTGTTACAAGTGTTAACAAGGTGTTGTAATGACACCTGTAAACCATAGTTCTGTTACAAGTGTTGTGTTAACAAGTTGATATGCACACATAGAACTGTCGATACCGCAACAGAGCATACGCCGCCGTAGTCAAAGCACATGTGTACTTCTCATGCTCATCTCTTGCTGAAGCAGTGACGGCCAATGCCATAGCTAGAATCATACGCATGCAAGTGGTTGATAAGGTAGTGTAATGTAGCCTGGTGAGTATACCGTAATCATGCACGTGTACGTAGTGACAAGATGTAGCTCACTGGGAAACACCGGTACAACAGCTGGACTGTATCTGTCGACCTACTCGCATGGATATAAGAATACATGCGTGCGCCTTTGCTAGCGTTTGCATATCTCATACAGGAGATTTACTAATTGCATACACAGTTGTAAGTATTTACAAAGATATAAATCAATAGAAGACACGGCATCTCAACTTTAGTCAAATATAAATAAAGACACGAACACATGAACCTTATTCGCACGGTTTCGTATTTCAAATACGTACACCACCGCTTTACGGATATGCTTACCTTCTCTGCAGGTACCTATCACCCAACAATGAGACTATGAACCCACAGGAGTTACAGACCGAACTGACGCAGATGCGAAACTACGCCATGCTGGGCATGATCCTGTTCAATCTCATCTGGTTGGTAGCTGTGACAGCCCTGTCATACCAGGTAACTTAACAAACCACAAATGTACACGAGACGACTAGCATGCAAGATTGCAATTTATTGCTATTTATTCAAAAGTATCCTTGTATTCACATGTGCACGGTGATGCTTGCGAGAATACGTTATTTGAGCACGACAAAATATACATCCAAACTGACCCACCAAATTGCAACCGGATTAAAACCCCCTCCGAGGGATCGTCTACGTACCATTCTCAGTATCCGTAGTAGTAGTAGTAACAACTGACCGAATACTTGCTGCAGTATCTGTAGTAGTAACAACTGTCCGAATACTTGCTGCAGTATCTGTAGTAGTAACAACTGTCCGAATACTTGCTGCAGTGTCTGTAGTAGTAACAACTGTCCGCATACTTGCTGCAGGAGCATCTGCAAGTGGTAGACACCAATGTGCTGGGCCTGGTGTTCCTGACGGTATTCTCTGGACTGCTGGTGGTTCAGTACATAGCCATGGCTTATCACCGCATAGGCACAGGTGGGTGGGGTTGCTATGTACAACCAAACACACAGATAGATACGTGTAGAAAACAACAATTTGTAGATCCATGTTTGTGCTTGCGATCGTAGCCAGCCCTGAACGTGCTTAAAGGAATATGTGCGCCGATACATCATGGCTGATAGGACTAGTGGGTACTGTATGTTACATCGGAGTTTGACCTCTGGACGTGTATTTCAACGCCGAAGTTGTTGTGTAGGGTGTCTGGCTGTCCTGTACAAGTGAGTGTGTTCTGTTTTATCACGGGTACGCTGCAACGCTCAATACGTAATACTCATTCGAGGACATACCTACAAAAGCACAGCCATAAGGTCCGTGTGCTACATGGAGGTTGCATTACCTAGTACTAGTATACGTTTGTGAGACAGGGTGCATCGTATCCTAAGACCCACGCACATATCTAAATACGTTCTCCGTCGCCGATACGTTTTGAGACATATTGTCCCAGGCCTATGTGTGCGTGTGCACCGGCATCTGCCGTTGGTGTACGTGTATTGCTTTCTTTTGATCGGCCCAACTAAGTGAGCGTATATACTTACACACCATAGCAACAGCGCATCACGAGTTGCATAAGCTGAAACCATCAGGTCTGAGCATGTAGGCTACCGCTACAGAGGGCTAGCTTGGAAAAATCAGGAAACATCGTTATCATCTATTGTATACACACTTCGCATGCATACACCAAACCAATACCACCTGCGCAGTGATGTATCAGCTGTTATATATATATATATATATTCGTGTCTGCAATAAAATACAGCGATTCCTATTTATCTACGTCCGAACAAACCATGTAGAGCGATACATCCCTCTTGTATGCACTTACAGAACATATCCTGTCTACAACTTAATCAACCCTGTGCGGCGATTTGACTGCTGTTGTATCCTTATGTGTGTCTGATTTGTAAGGTACACATCCCTCCAACCCATAGTACGTGTGCCTGTGGTTACACACAGTACAAAAGACCGATCCTTTGACTCCATCCTGCGACCCTATCTTTTCAAGCGTTATAATTCATCGTATAATTCATAGTAATTCACACTACACAAACGTTCACATCTAGTGCAGCTGCAGCGATTCGTTTGCTACCAGTTCGTTTCGGATGCTTGTATAATACATATACTGATAAATATCTGTGTCTGCAGGCACACATATTGAATTGACACTGACCACCACCAAACAACCCCTATACAGCGATTCATCTGCTGGCCACAGCGAAGAAACAGGGGGGGCGCCTAGATAAGGTGAAAAAGGTCAAGAAACGCCCTACTAAAGTGAGCACCGACCAGACGATGGATGGTGTGGCCCATGAGGACAGACATGAGGTGCAAGTGACTGCCTTACCGACAGGCGAGGTTTAGATATGACAAGGTCTTCATATAAATACTACGATCCGGTTTTATCTGACAATAAGATACAGACGATACTCTATTCCGTAGAGAACAGAAATGATTAAAACTTTGATGAAAGTATGGAGCTATACAGGAGAACAGGGAAGATATCCCAGTGACTACTGTACCAACAGGCGCGGTCTAGGACAAGGACCTTTTATAGTACCTAGTACCTGTCAGACAAGTGCTATATAAACACTGACATATCACGTTCACCGCAGACGTCTATCTATAGCCGCACATGAGTACCGTGACGAGGAACATGTGACTGCCGTAACAACTGGAAATGTTTGAATATGCGAAGGAGTTCGTTTACTACCATCTGTGTGTGGCTGTCGAATGTTTTATAGTCAGAAGTATACTATGTATACGTGTCCAAGTGGACTGCGAAATTGCTACGATGAACATATCACTTTCACTTCAAAAGACGGAAAAGGGTTGTAGCTGTGCAACCTAATGATTTTCAGGTCGAAATTGCATTATGTCTATGGGTACACTCCTCTACACACATACATAGTTGCGGAATTGATTCTACGAGCTATTTCTCTCGTATTAAAGAATCCCGAATACCAAACCTGCGCGTTGAATGCTGCCGGCAATATTTTACCAATCAGCCTTGCTCCCCGAGTTGACATACTGCAACCCAGAGAAAATCTTTCTAATTGGCAGATTATACTACGGAAGTATTATCTAAGACTTGGACTACGCGAGGTTGTGTGCACATATGACTAGTCTATCTATTTCTTTTTACATTATGCAAGCAGACGAACAGTGTGGGAGGTCTGTTTCCAAGTGCCACTGACTGCGTGCAACACCCATGCAGATACCATGGGGTATCTAAAGGGGAAACCTGGAGCCGCCGCAAGAGAATATACATACAACACTGAAAACAAATCAGGTGACATGATGTGTGTATCAATAAGAGATGTTCGTAGTTAATACTGTACCGATTCACCTCAATAGAAGATACTCCGAAACTGTTGGTATTTAGTTCCGGCCAGCCGATATCGACATATTTGGTACACAAGACTTCACAAATCCCGCCATTCAGTTTCTGACAGCTGAATGCAGTGCGGTCTGTGCGACTGTGCGTAATGGAACTTTTTTTTTTTTGACAAATAGGTTGTCTCCTGGAAGCTGCACCGCTGCAGGCTGCTCACAGACCACAGTGGAGACACAGACAGTGAACATACTCGCGATCGGCAATTTTCAATTTTGCCAATTTCACATCGTCGCAATGGTCGCATCGTCGCTCTTGAGTCTTGCGACTTATCATCATTCAGTTGTTGTCACTTAAAAAAATTGTTGCCTCTGGAGACTGGGCCAGGACTCTGGTCACTGGAGGCCTGTCTTGAGTGTCTATTGTCTAATGTGACAGTAGTGTCTTCTCTTGTTTGAGAGATTGACTGACTAATTAACTATGAGAGTCCTCAGACTCCTCACTCCTCACTCCTCAGTGCCGTTAGAAGCTCTGGAGTTCCGGACTTCCAGTCCCCCAGTATGTATTTAGTATGTACATGATGAGTCACATCATGACTCTTCACGAGTCATGAGTGTGCCAATGTGGATTGTGGAACTGGAAGTGGAATATAGTGCCAATTATGGAAGCACGGAATTTAGGTCCAGGATCCCCGGCAATTTTCTATCCAATAGGCTTCTTTGTTGAGCTTTTTTGATAAAATAAATACCTCAGGTTCCATCAGTGATCATCACCTGAAGCCTGAAGGGTGAGGGCTGAGGTAAACAGTTAAGACCACACTATGATGCATAAACACATGATAAATATGTTGTTGTTTTTCCTTTTGTTTGTTCTATGTACATATTATGTTTATTTTTTATATAACCCAACAACAAAAACATTGGTTGTCTGTGAGACTGTGTGTGACTCGGTGACTGCGAGTGTGTAAACTGAAGGACTGTAAACTCAAAACTATAAAGAGTGAGATCACTGTGATGTCACTGATGTGGAGTGTGTACAGTGTAATTCAAAAAACAAATTTCATTACAGGTTGCTAGAAAATGTGTGGCGTAGTTTTGATACATGGCAATAATCAACGTTGACCTGGCCCAGGCTGTTGTAAAATGTTGTCCTACCGTTCGTGTATATGGATTTTTATTTTACAGGCATCCTAAGCACTCGATTTACTTTGCGCACAGACTATGCCGACGTTAATATTTAAGGTCTATGACCACTATGATTTATCTCAAATACATTCCTCTTGAATCACAGTCTGATACATTCCTTCAATTTAGCTGGAACAAGTTTAAAATCATGCAATTCACGTCTGCTGTCGTTCTGATCTGTGCCGCCGCTTCGGTGCAAGCACATAGATTCCTACGTAGTCCTACAGCCCGCGGTGGCAATTCCGCCGGGCCCTCTGGAGTAATCTGTGGTCGAGGAAGCACGAGCACTGGTAGCTTTCGAGCAACATATGTTCAAAGCCAGACTATTGAAGTAGAGTGGGAGATTACTATCGCCCACAACAACGGGTTTGTCGAAATGCGCATTTGTGACAGTCAGCAGGTTTCCAATGCGTGCTTGAATGAGAACCTGCTCAGACACGCCGACAATGGCCAAACTCGTGTCAACAATGTCAACGGTAGGCAACGGTTCAGCGTTGAGTATCGCCTTCCAGCAGACCTGACCTGCCCAAATGGTTGTGTGATGCAGTGGTTTTGGGATACCCCAAACAACGGCGAGTAACATGGCTGTACCGACATCATTATTAATCCCATGAATTTTGGTAACCCCAGTAATGATAATAACGTAGATGCTAATCAGGATGAAGATAACGTGGAAGAGAACAATGGACAGTCTTAGAAGTCTGGTAACAATCCCCTAGAGTTGGTCTGTTCCGAACGCATATTGGAGAATTCCTGTCGCAAGCGCAATCGCCAGCTAGTTGAAAACCGTGCGTGTTGCAGACATTCTAATAAGTGTCCTGGCTACGCTTCCACCAAGTGCCTCAGCAGTTATTTCTGTCAGTAGATAGCAACTATTCAGGCAACGACGCCAGCTTTCTACTAAGAACACTTCTTGACTTCCGATTGAATGCCAGACTTGATATGTCTGGCCGCGTTTGCTCTGTGAGCCGCTAGGTACATCCAGGTACAAGATGATTATAACATTATATTAAACAATGTCATGCATTATATGAGAGTAGAGAGACCATCTACGATCTAACTTGTTTTATTCTTACAGAACACTATAATAATTGTATGATACTCTCATATATAACTCCATCGTTGGAAATCCGGTTCTGTCGCGCGTGATATTGACCACGGCCAACAAGTGTAATCAAGTACTCGTACGATCAAGTTCAAGTGTTCCCACAAAATCTAATGTGATTAGATGAGAAATTGTGATGTTGTTAGCCTGCTATTACTACAAAATTGACATTAATTATTGAACTTGTTGCTGTGTGTCCACAGTAGCTTATCCAGGTACCTGGTTACATTTATTAAAGCGTTGTTATCATCATGTGCTCCAGACAACACAGGCAGTTTAGCTTGATACAATCTTTTAGGCAGGTGTTTGGCTGAGAGACTCATGCTCTAACCTCGAGCGCGCACGGATATTATTGTGTAAATATATTATAATTTGCATGGCTCTCTATATTTCACTCGTAGAAGGTCTACGCAAAATTGTCGAGTCGCGAGCAGGAGTACAAAATAAAAATATGTATAAAAAAATATGAAAAAGAGTATGAACCCCTAAAAACCCTACATATTTTTTTCTTTTTGATTAAAAAACCATTTGTAGCCTCCTAAGAAAAGAACAAGCAGCATTAATATTTAACTCTATCTTTTACAAAATATCATATTAATATAACAGTGGGTGGTCGGTGTAGGAGGTTGAGTTCAGTTTGAATACATCACCATGGCACCTTCACGTAAGGAGAAGTTGGCGGAGGAGCGAGCTCAAAAGAAAAGGGTATGCCTGTGCTATATATTTAAACGGTAGCAGCAAAAGCAATCAATGTTGTACTTAAGATATGCCGTTTAATGTTATCTGCTGCTGTTGTTGTTGTTCCTGCTGCTGTTGTTGTTGTTCCTGCTGTTGCTGTTGTTGATTCACTCGCGGTGTGAGTACGAGTGTGAATTATTGTCACATTCAAATGAAAACTATATGGGTGTTACGTCCACACTATTCGTATGTATAAGTCGGTCTACAGGTACAGGGAAGTACACATACGTGTCTTCAACGCACGCAAATCAAAATTTCTACACACATATAAGAAATATGCATAAATATTGTGTGTGCGAATATGTTTGTATATATATATATATGTGTGTGTGTGTATGTGTGTGTGTGTGTGTGTGTGTGTGTGTGTGTGTGTGTGTGTGT